ACCTCAATGCCGAACGTCTCAGTCTCTGGAGGCAAACCCTATCTCAATGCCAAAGCCTCTGTGCCTGATGGCAAACTATCGCAGCTGCCTCTGTCACTTTCCTGAGGGGTTTCCCATTTGTGGGTGTATAACTTGGTCATCTGGAATCCAAACTTCACTAAACATGGGGGGCTTGTAGAGGAGAGTCAGAGTTAGCTTTCCTGTGAATTTGGTATCTCTAGGTGCCTGTGTGGCTGTTTTATAGCATTTTAAAATAAAGATGAATCAACAAATCAATCCATCAATTCATCAAAAAAATTAATTCATGATTCGTTGACCTTGATTAATTGTGAATCACAATTATTGCCATGGTTTTTCATTTGTACCCATCTCTAATTTGGAAAAGCTTGTCACTGACTGTTTGGTTTCATTCTGAGATTAACCCTTCCCTTGGATAATGTCAGCTATGACAAAATCATAGAATCTGTTCTTGCCTTGAAGGTCTATAAATTTCTGTAGGACTCCTGGGGACTCAGTTATCCTTATCTGTTTCTGACAACTTTGAAATGCAACAAGAGCTATGGGCAACTAATCAGAATAAAGAAGGCAAGTAGAAATAACTCCTGCACATATGGTGAAGACAGTAGCTGATGGAGAAGACTGTTGGTCTATTAAAAGCCCAGGGGAGGTCATGCAGAAGAAATAGAAAATTGAAATAAATTATTTTTGTCTTCTGTAGGATATTTCAAGATGTTCATTAAAACAAACAAACAAACAAACCCAAAAACAACAATACAATTTCCGGATGATAATATGGTGCATAAATCCATAATAGGCCATCTTCTAGTAGCAGTAAGATAGACTATAGTCAAAGGCTGGAAAAACATGCAGGAAGTATCAAGCATAGCATTAGAGCAGTGGTTCTTAACCTTGGGTTACTCAGGTGTTTTTGGACTGCAACTCCCAGAAGCCTTCACCACCAGCTGTGCTGGCTGAGTTGCAGTTCAAAAACACCTGAGCAACCCAAAGAACCACTGCATTAGAGTATGGCAGGTAGCATTGCAGGAAAAATTAACCACCAAACTCCATATAGTTAAAGGTATAAAACATTTGGATTCTTTTGCAATGGACTTGCATCCATTTATTGTTCATATGAATGTAATACCCTGCTTCCCCTAAAATAAGACCTAACCTGAAAATAAGCCCTAGTATGATTTTTAGAGTGAATGTTTATATAGATATACATATTTATCACAATTAACTAAAGGGGGAAAAAAGAACAGGAAGATTAGAAGGTCTATTGGAGTCTCCCTATACTTGAAAAATCCACATTTCTGCAGAGAAAAACAGAAGGATGAGCTTGGTTGTCACATTAATAGCATCTGGATCAACATAACTGGGATGAAAAGTAAAAGGAATGTGGTAGTTGGTATCTACTACTGACTGCCTAATCAAGGAGATGATGAAGATGATACCTTTGAAAAACAAACTGTAAGAATTTCAAAGAGACATGATGTAGTAGTAAAGGGAGATTTCAATTATCTTGGTACCTGTGGAGAGGCAAATTCTGCCAAACATGTACCTTCCATGAAATTCCTGCCTCGTGTGGCTGGCAGTTTCCTCCAATAAAAATAAATAAATAAAGGAAGAAACTAGAGTATTAGTTATACGCATCTTGATTCTGGATGTTAAAGTCTTCAGCTGTCAATAGTCTGACTGATCTCAGGTCTGCAGCTGAGATGAACCTGTCCAGCCTTGGCAAGGAGAGTGCTGGTTTAAGTATCTGGCTGCAGAGCCAGAGGTTGGGAGTTTGATTCCCCATTGTACCTTCTGTAAATAGAGCCAGTCTGTGTGACCATGGGCAAGCTGCACAGTCCCATGGTGTCCCCAGAAGAAGGGAATAATAAACTACTTCTGAGTGTTCTCTACCTGAAATATTCTCAGAAGTGTTGCTATAAGTTAGAATTGACTTGACAGCATGATTATTTTCTTTCTTTCTTTCTTTCTTTCTTTCTTTCTTTCTTTCTTTCTTTCTTTCTTTCTTTCTTTCTTTAATTAATTAATTAATTACTCTATATATACCCAGCCTATCTGGTCATTTCGACCACTCTGGGCAGCTTACAACATGGATTACAACACAAATATAAAAATTTATAACACAATTATACAATTCAGCAAGATGGGAAGCATATAAAATAAGTCAAAAAAATTTTTTTAAAAAGGGGGAAGAAAATCGGGAATTAACTGGGGGGGGGGGAAGGCCTGCTTAAACATCCAAGTTTTTAATGGATTT